TCTGTAGGAATCATGTCACCCTCTGTCTTTGCGAACTTTCTCATCATCCTAGATGGAATGGTGTTTATAGCTACTCCATTGTCGACAAGCACTTTTGCCACTGGGACGCCGTTAACTAGAGCTTTAACGTATAATGGCCTCAAGTTTTTAGTCAATTTCATGGCCTCTATTTCTACCTCTTGCTTGTTTTCTGTCGAATTATCCCCCTGTGATAAGTCGACGTGCAGTATATCACGCTGATCCTCTGTCTCCTGAACTTCTTCCTTACCCTTTTCTAATACTTCCTCATCAGTTATCCAACCTGTTGAAGGGGGCATTATTCTTGGAGGTAACCCATACTTTTCAGAGCGAGGCACTCTCTTCTTTCTTTTGGGTGTTCCGTACAGTACATAGAAATCGAAAGGACGCCCAGATGGCTCCCCCAACAAGTCTACTTCGCGAACTCCCTCTTGATGTAGTTGCTTAAATAGAGTATTGCGCGATACTCCTCTCTTTTTCCTTTCTGCTTCTAGGTCGATTTCATCTTCAATGTCTGTCATCACATCGTCCTCCTCGTCGTTGTAGGCCTCCCTAGAAATCTGGCCTTCTTCACATACCAACACGCAAGCTTCTTCTTCGTTGTCTTCCTCCTCTTCTTCTTTTTCCTTATTCTTGAATTCATTGGCCAGTAGGTAATTATTGGCCACTACAGAAGTCAACGTACCGAATTGGATAGCAAGGAGCTGATCTGGATCTTCTTCATCCCTTCTGTCCCACTCAAACTTTGATCTCCCAGAAGAAGTTTCTGGTAGTTCCTTCATTAATTCATCTGTACCAGTTTCTTCGTTATTTTTGAGGACATTTTGATTGGCTACCTTGAGTAGTATGGGCGCTTTAGGATGTGGAATTCCTTGTTGCTGCCTCATCATCCGTCCGTAGTTTCGTTGGAAACGCCTTTGTTGGGTCCTAGTGATCTCATTGAAGGGTATTGCCCTTCCTGCACTGTACTGGAATGAATGTCATACATTTGGCCGGCGAGGTTGCAGCCTAAATGTTCTTCCAGTATCTGCTGGTCTGAACTGCCTTTCAAAAGGCGATCCCCTATAGAATGATGTACCTCGCCCTCTACCATGCTGAATGTTTGGGAAGAAGGTGGGGCGATAAGGATGCTGCCATGTCCCTGGCTTCTCCGTGTTTCCATTCATTTCTCTTTTACACCTTGCACACGAGACGTCTTCATCCTTTTTTGGTTCTTTCCCCTTGATTCGTTCAAAGACGGTGGGATGTGGTCTAGGATCTTCTTCTCCATCATCTGCGATCAATTTGAATTTTGGTAACTTGTTCTTGAATCCAGATGTTACCATGTTTACTCCAAGTGGCTGTGGGAAAGGATTCTCGTCCACTGCCATCTTTTTCTTATCATCGAACGTAATTTGTCCTGATTCAATGGCATCCTGCAATACATGACGGAAAACCAAGCAATCGTTAGTCAAATGTGACCATGCATTATGCCACTTACAATATTTTTTACCCTTAATTTGTTCAGGGTTTGACAATTTGTGCTTATCGCTCAACTTTATTTGCTTATCCCTATATAATTTATCGAATATAAGATCAGCTTTGGTCACGTCGAACGAGAACGTTCTAGCCTTTATGTTTCCATCTTTTATGGGCTCATCTCTGCCCGATGGTCTAGGCTTGGCCATTATGGGACAAGTATATGTATCCCCTTTGATCAATTCGGCCAAACACATTTCGGTCTGATCGTATGACTCGTCGTCGATGGTATGAACGTCAAAATTTGGGTCCTTGTAATAAGTCTCTTTACTAGAATTTTTCATTTGTTCTTCCTCTCTTATCAGTCGCTCATACCTAATCACATTCACACTCAACTGGAAAAGGTCGGGGAATTCCTTGTCCTGAAATTTCTTTTTTAAATCAAAGCTCAAGCAGCCTTGAGCGATCTTGACAAATTCTTTTTCGGGTAGAGGTACAAAACACTTGCTTCTTGCTGTCTTGAACCTTTGGAGAAAACTTTCTGCCCATTCATTTGGCATTTGACGTAAATTCGCCAAATCGGCCAAAGTGACTTCAGACTCAGTTTTATAAAACTGAGCGTGAAACAACTGTTCCAATTGTTGCCATGTTTGAACAGAGTTCGCTGGCAAGTTGATGAACCAAGAGAAAGCTACTCCTGTTAACAAACTAGGGAAAAGTCTCATTTTATGGTAATTAATTACATCACCATTTGTGATGTAAATCGCCCTATGTGTTCTAGAGTAGACACTTCTCCTAAACCGGTAAATAGCGAGAATTCTGGCACTTTGTATCCTCTAGGCCATGGGTATGCTTGGTCTACCTAATCAGGATATGGCTTTGTGTACGTCGGCCTAATGGCGGGACGCACCCCAAAAGCCATCTGATCCTGTACGATTTCCATAATCTGGTTCCTCAACATGACGTTGGGGTCATATGGAATTCCTACAGATTGGTTAACCGGTTGATTTGCATGAGGCCTGATTTTTGGTCCTTGATTGGCAACAAAATTACCATGATTAGGGCCATTACCATTAGCCTGAACATCTACTCCTTCGTTACCACGTGGAATATTATGTCCATTGTTTAGGACATTATCTCTCACGCTTGGATTACCCCCCATGTTAGACATACCACTACCATTGCTTTGATTTGGCACTGTAGTACCCCTTGGTTTGAAGTAGATGGACCAGAAAGCGGTTCTATCCCTTGACTCGGATTTAGGACCGAGAGATTATGTCCCACGATCGTCCTAGTTTGAAAGTGATTTGTAAGAGGTATAGCCGGTTGACATATTTGGCCTACTAACTTATTCATATTTTCGTTCAACGTCTTTAGTTGTTTGGCCATGTTGTCATAGTGTGCATTCCCATTTTGTGTAAATCTTTCCATATTATGAATACTTCGAAAATTTACATGTTCAACAACGTCTTGCGTGAGTTCTCCAAGTAATGCACGTATGGTACGAGGACTCAACTTCGTCATTGGTTCGTAACGACTGTTACTGCTCTGATTCTGTCCATCTGTTCGTGGAGAGGCGTTCTGCTCCTCATATCGCTCGATTACAGACTGGATTCCTCCCTGACTTGCCGCTTCCTTATCGGATCTCTGAGGCATATTGTTTCCCTTTTTATACTTTCAACACCTAACACCACTGTCCCACTGGGCGTGCCAAATTGTTTCCCGCGGGTTAGTCGCTAACAATTAAAAGGGATCAGACGATTGTGTAAGGGACAAACCTTTTGAGACAAAGTTCCAAAAAGGGGTGTTCTTTTATTGGTGATGACTTTACAATTGAAAATGAAAGACAACGTGCCTCAAAGGGGGGCAAGCACACGAGTTACTGAAAGAAAAATTTTTAAATCTAAAAATTAAAGAAATGAAAGTTACATGTTCTCTGTTTGAGAGTTTTGGATTCGCTCCTTTTCTTCTAAAAACTGCTTGATCGTCTTATAACTGCCCACTTTCTTCGTAATGGCCAACTTGTCATAAAAACTACCTTTTTTAACTGCTGTCATTACTCCTCTTCGTTCAACCGCTTTCGATTGAGTTCCTTGAATCGTGGAACGTGATAGGGTTGCTTCAATAACTGCCTTGATGATTGCACTTCTTGATAACCACGGCGCTTTATGTTGTTAAGACGTAGGGCGACTTGAAGGTTTGGGCGAGAATAGAGTAACAGTTCTGGGCGACTATATGACACTCCATTCGCTCAAATTCTGGGCGACTTGCAAACTTGGGCGATGGCGTTATCGCGTTCTTGGACCTCCTTATTTGGGCCTTCATCTTGATTTGTTCGATTGGGCTTCGTTCTTTGGACTGTCTGATTTAAGGATCCTCCAATTGGGCTTCACTCCTTGGACTGCTCGATTTGGGCTGAATTTTTATGTGTCAACAATAATGTCGAAATGGATGATTCTCAGGGTCTAGAACTGCAATATCAATCAAGTTTTGAAGAATTTTACTATGCCTGAAAGTGATATACCTTGTTAGGGACGCATGCAAGGTTGCGAGTACAATTTTCTCATATATATGTATCATCAGTGCTAGTCAAGGCTTGTGGCTACACGTAACCGCAAATCATTTTTGTCTGGACCATTAGAGACAAATTAGTCCTATAACAACTCATTCTCTCTCACTAGTCAAGAGTTGATAATGTAGTGAAATTTTATTTCTTGGTGTATTTGAATAGATTATTTTTTTCATTATTTATACTAACATTATAGGTCATTGAACAATGGAAAATTATCATGAGTAAGCGAATTTTAAAGAGTGGAGGCAATTCTCCATCCACGGGATATATAGATTAATGAATTAGTTGTAAAATGGATAGGATCGAGTCTATTACATCAACTGTTTATTCAATATTACAAGTCCACAATCACTACACAAGATCAACCTTGGTTGGGTCATTTGAAGTTTGCCTCAAGTCAAATACGACTCAGTTACTATGCGCGATCATATATCAAGGTGCTCCATATGGTTGGTGGAACAACGCGAAGGGCCTGTCAGTATATATAGAGGGGAAGTTATCTATTTTTGACAACATAGTAGTTTATTATACATCAACTTTTTATACTTAACCAAACATGCACTATACCATAAGAAAAACACCTTAAGTTAATCTCTATTTTGTCACTGCAAACTACCACAACCACAAAATACCAAAGAATAAATTATTACCAGCCTTCGTAATAAATTTATACGTTGCGCACCTTACAAAAATATAGGATGTAAGTTACAAAGACCAGCAGCACCTGACGAATTAGCATTCATTCATTTAGAATATCAAGATACACATGCTACAGAAACACCAAAATGAAAATAGTTCCCTGTTGCATCATTTGCAAAGAATGTTCAACATTAGTCGTTCAAGTCGCAAATCAATTTTCGCTGGACACATTTATTGCACATTTGGTGATCAATAATTTGGTGCTTTTAATCGACATCATAGTAGAGCAAAAATCAAGACCACATACACACGCTGAAAATAAAATTAACTGAAGAGATTGATATTGAACTCTTGTATATCAGTAACTGGCCAAAATTGATTTTGACAGAGTAAAATTTATAAAAAGGGAGGCTAACAAGAGAAAGAACTGAAAAAGTTGTATACTGCTCATTGGATTTTTCATCTGACTAAAACCATCTTAGAGAGATGATCAACACAAATATCTGGTCCATTTTCTTTCTATCACTTCCTGCAGATAAAATGCCCTTTCAATGATAAAATCTGCATCAAAAAAAATTTCGGCAAAAGCACCAATAGGCAATAGCCGTCAAGAGGTTCGTGAACCTCTCCCCATTGTACTGTACTCATAGCGTCCAGGTTTAGGATTTCCATCATCTTTTTTCCACCCATCCCATTCAGATGCAGTTTGACTTATGTGCTAAAGATCTATCTGAATCACTGTCTTTCAAGCTTCTTCCACAAATAAAATGCCTTTCTAATGATAGAATCAGGAGAAAATCCATCTGCATAAGCACTAATAGCCGTCAATAGGCTTGTGAATTTCTCCCCATTATCCTGTGTTGATAACATTCTGGTTTAATATTTCCATCATCATACAGGTCCAGGTATGAAGTCATGTAGAGTATTATTGATGTATTAAGGATTTATTTGATCATCTACAACTAATTCAAAGAAATTCCACAAGCCGAATAGTGAGGAAAAAAAATTACAATCAATGAGACAACTCAAGTAAAAGCAATCAAGGTCGTAAAATAAATCTACCACACGACCAGTCTATTGTATTTCTGAATTTCAGAAATCGCAGATTCATGCGAATTCTAGGTTCAGTCATATCAGTGATGGTTGTTACTAGAGTTTTTGTATCAATGACATACTGATTCTAAGTGGCAACCCAAGTCCTCCTTTTGTTTGCAGTACAGCGACGCCTTTTGTATTGGACATATGGTAGGATTAGGATCCCATTGACATGCATCAGTGATTCAGTGACTCGTGAGTCATGATGAGTAAAAGGTCAAGGTTCAAGATCCATCATGCTCAAGTCCTGTTCTGTTATTAACAAAGGAAAATCTCTGGACTGCTTTCTATTAAATAAAGAAAATATCACATAGAACAGGTGGACTCGCATAAAACTTTAAAGTGCATTTAATGAATGGCAGGATAGATTTCCCTCAAGTCATTTAACTGACCAAGTAGGGCAAATTATTAATCTAAAAGGCAATTTCAAAGTTTACTAAGCCAGCGCCATGGGAACCCCAATAGAAATATCATGAAACATGAGACTTCGTATGACATGCTCATAGTTGACAAAAACAGCTGCTTTTACAGAGATAATACAAACCTCAGGTTTCATGAAAGTCAAATCTTCAATGGAAAATGGAACCATGTAGAACGGAAGATCAGAACGAAGCATGGCCTACATTACGTTAAGTGTGATCTTTTAGCTTTGAGAATATGAGGTTCTAAGAATTATTAAATAACAAATGCTAACAAACATAACAGATTTAATAAATACTCTGCCCATATGTTTGCTTAAAAAAGAAACCAAAAAAAAGTGCGGAAAAGGAAATAAATAAAAGCAAACATACCAGATTCTTGCTTAGCAGAGCCTGCTCAGCACTTGATGTCAAGGCCTACAACTAGTTTACATAAGTAACTAAAACTACTGGATTAAATAAATGCATAAACGTACAGAACGCAGGAACAAACTAATGGAGATCATAAACAATCTTTATTTATCTTCCCTAATATTTCTTTAATATTTTGGGATGGTAAATTTTTAGAAGCAAAAGCAGCTCCTCTATGAGAAAGGCCCTAGGGTTCCAGGAGTGACAGCATATTAGTATGTCATCTCCATTAAAATAGTCCTACAGTTTTCCCCCGTCTTTTTGATGTAGTACATCACAACTACAACTAATGGTTTCATACTACAATTGTAAATTACCTTATAGTTGTATTGATCTTTTCAATACAACTATAAGGTAATTCACAATAATTCCTAAACGCTTCCGCACCACTTTTGACCATCAGTATAATAAATCTCTACTCATTTCATACTTGTGTTGCCACAATATCTTTAACATTTAGGGATAATATGAATCAACTAAAAGAAATACTTCAAAATCAGGATTTACTAATATATGTCAATCCAAAGCGCTTGAAATCAAAGGTATTATAGAAACGTCTCTCGTAATTTTATCCTGTTTAGCCCTATATGAATTTTCCCTCTTCCTATAAAGGATTAAAAGGGTTAAAGAGGTACACACTTTCCACATCAACAGAATAATTTTTGAATTGCATAACAAGAACAGCGTGATAGACCAGCTGCAGACAAGAATAGAAATGGATACTCCCTGCAGAATGGACAACTTTACAAAAATCCAGCTGATACAGTTGAGATGACCAAATATATATCTCTTGAAAAGAGTACTCATTTGGCCAAAAAACCAAATAATAATCATTATAATGGCAATAGACTCAAACTCGAACAAAACTGAAGGTAATACTAGATGTTTAGCACTCTCGACTAAATCTTGACACGAGCACACCACACCGCATTAAGGAAGAATGGGATGATTGTTCCAAAAGTTACATTTGCACCTTAGTTCATACTAGCTAAATAACCAAATTAGTGAAATGTTTAGTTTTTCAGCACAAGTAGCATATCAATGTGCTTATGAGAGAGACTCGTTTGGTTCACTGTTTTCATTAAATGCCTTTCTCTTCATGCAAAAATATACATCTAGTACTTGTGAAGTAGTAGTTCTAAACATATTTTGATTAAGTACTAGGCCACTCACGCATGATGCTAATGTACTTCGATAGTTGGTACTCAACCTATCATATCATGATTCATAACTAGGGTTGTCTACATATCACTAAACATTTGTTCTAATACCAGATGATTGTAGCCCTTTTTTTCATTTTTTTTAAACTAGAGTGACCACTTCAGTTCATAGAAATTTGCTTCAGAATCTTTTTAAAAAAAATACTAGATTAACAAGACATTCGACATTTAACAACCTTCTGGATTCGCTCCTCATCAACTTGTTCAACACACTGCAGCAGGTTCTCTAATGTACCTATCCATACAAAAAGAACAAGCAACAAGTTAGCAAACACTGCAGTGTAAAATAATGTAGAAAATCAGAAGGTGAAAGACAAATACAAAGTAATGAATAGGAGCACAAGAAGTTAAATGAATGGCTATAATTTCACATCAAGAGGCAACAGCACCACGAGGAAGAATGAAAAATGGAAAGTTCGTTAATAAAACTCACTATCATTTTTTGGTTGTAAGAATTCAACAAATCATCATCTTTAAAGCACAATCCTACTAATGCTTCTTTGCTACAGTGAACAAATGTCCTCTGTTTGCAACTCTTTTAAAGCATCAATTAACAAGCGCTTAGTTCATCCATCGACAGAAGGAATGGGTCAACCAACAAAGTCTCTTGAGATGAACAGATTAAAAACAGAGACAGATCGACAAAAGGATTTGAAACAAATGCATATTTACTGGCAGGGATTTTAGAGGGAGAAGGAATCCGTAGTTAAACCAAACAGTTCTAGCAACGCAAATACTCTCAGCTGGGGTCGTAGCAATAAGAATTGCTCACTTGCTTGGGACATGGTTAGTGGGATCAAAAGTAGAATGTATTAGGTGAGGGTGAATCTCAAATGAAAATTTGGCTTTGGTAGTAAAATGAATCCAGAGATTAGTCTTTTTTTTTTTTTAAAAGGTAATCAAATATCTCATTAATCAATACATAATACACGGGAAGTGTATTATCAATTTAAAGCAGAAAGGAATAACATAAAATTGGGCAGCCCACCTATATAGTAGCTGCAGCATTAAACCACGTATACAATGTAAAATAAAATATTTCTCTAATTTGCTCTGTTGTCCGTGTTTGATCATCAAAGCAGCGGCTATCTCTCTCTCTCCACATACACCTTATAATGCAAATAAGGTCCCATGCAAGCTTGCAATTCTTGTAGCGAAATTTTCTCCTCCATGCCTTTAACACGTCTTCCATACGCCTCGGCATCACCCAATCCATGTGTTGTGATGTCAAAATATTGTGCCACAATAAACGAGTAGCATCACAACGGAGAAACAAGTGATCAATCGTCTCCCCGTCCCTCCGACACATATAACACCACTCT